CAATGGAAAATAGTGTGAGATTAAGTGAATATTTTAGATTAATACTACTCCTCATTATAATTCCTATTACCAATTCTCAGGTAGCAAGAAACCGGTTTATTATTGTTGCCCTTGGAGCTTTCTTAATCACTATTTCTATAACAGCACTTGTCTTGTCATTGACGAATATTTCATACGGTATACAGCAACTTGTTATTTTTTTGTTATTACATGAGAAAGTTCATGTAATCTTCTGCCTACCGATCTACATAAATAAACAGCTCGAAAAAATAAACGTAATGTGATTCTCTTGATTTCTGATGGTTTTGGACCTGCCTCGCAAACCTTTGGACGTTCTTACTATCAATTTGTTAATGATCTCCCGTGGAATCATACGACTTCGCTTGACAAACTTCTTGTGGGATCGTCGCGTACACGATCTTCTAATAGCTTGGTTACTGATTCTGCGGCCGGTGCTACGGCTTTTTCGTGTGCTTTAAAGACGTATAATGCTGCGATAGGAGGTTTATTTTTTTTGAGTTTAAAATATGATAATTCACTATATATTTTTTGTCCGAAATGAAATTTATATTTCTATATAAATATATGTTTAGTTGATCCCGATCAACAACCGTGCGGCACAATTTTAGAGTCAGCTAAAGCGAAAGACATGGTTACCGGTTTGGTCGTAACTAGTCGTATTACTCATGCGACTCCCGCCTCGTTTTCTGCGCACGTAATTCAACGGAACATGGAATCTGAAATCGCAGTGCAACAAATCGGCGATTATCCGCTTGGCAGACAGGTCGACTTGATGTTTGGAGGTGGTCGATGCTTCTTTCTCGGAAATTCCACAGATGGTAGCTGCCGAACCGATAGTCGTGACGTAATATCCGATGCGAAAAAACGATTCCATTATTTGAGTACACGAAAAGAATTCGAGAATATCGAGATAAAAAAGGACAGGTACTTTTTCGAACACCTATTTCTCGACAAATCCATATTAAATTCTAACGTTACGACGCGATTCGCAGCCTTCCGATCATGGGACTTTTCACACTTGATGTAAGTTGATTTGGGAATTTTGATATTGTGATTGTTAGCTAAAATTAAAACGACAATAATAATTATTATTAGCATATGTCTTATGAAATTGACCGGGATCCAGCAGTTGAACCATCATTGAAAGAAATGTCTGTAAAAGCACTTGAACTGCTTACAAAGGCTACAGAAAATTCGGATGAAGGATTCTTTTTGATGATCGAGGGAAGCAGAATTGGTAATAGGAATTATAATGAGGAGTAGTATTAATCTAAAATATTCACTTAATCTCACACTATTTTCCATTG